ATTTTGATCTCTATGAGCAAAATGATGTAAAAAGACCCAAACTGTCCTAGTTTTCCGCAGCCATGAATGAACAATGTTATTCTGTCTAGATTGCTATTTACAAAGTCCCTCTCCTATATCCGTGTACCAAGTCACATTAACGACATTACTAACCTGTAACCTGTTACACTAATTGGAGAAGAATTTGCCAATTTAGAAAAATAATGCAAATAAGTAAAAATTTATGGAGCAGCGCAAAGGAAAAAGAAAAGCAAGTGGGGAAGGGAAAGGGGTGAAACTATGAGGGAGGCAGTCAGTCCTATTAGGAAAATACCTCTAACTTAAATATGTGGGAAATCATACAGATACAGGGGACTGCGATTTCCCTGTCAATAAATATGGGAACCACTGAGCTGCGTACCACAACCACATACAAAAATATTAAACTTTTTGTATAAAGATAACAACTAAACAATAAAGGTTAAAATATAATTTATCGATCCTTGTAAATATAAAAGGGAAAAGTAAAAGAAAAGAGAAAATAAATCAGAACCAAACCTGATAGATAAATTTAATAATTACAAAAAAAGTAAGAAATGTGGTCATAAGAAGAAGGAAAACAAACCTGCCTCCTTTTTTTAATTCCCATATTTGTTGGAGAGAAGTAGTAGGGGAATATAAAATATATCAGATGGCCGACACAGGAACAGAGCTACTCTTGGGCGCATGATATGTAAAACCTCATGGTACGATATTAACAGGAATTGCAAACATTGCTATAGAATAGCCTTTTATATACACAAGGATCAATAAATTATATTTTAGCCTTTATTGGTTTGTTGTCATCTTTATACAAAAAGTTTAATGTTTTTATTAGGTGATTGTGGTATGCAACTCAGTGGTTCACATATTCATTGACAGAGAGTATTCCTATTTTAGGGAAATCCCAGCCCCCTTTTTTCTGTATAATTTTACAATTTTACAGTGAGTTTACCAACGCGTGTCGCATTCTGTTTTTGTATATAATGAAATTATATAAGCACATTCGTCACCTGATAACCTGCACCTCAATACGTAGCCCCCCCACATGTTCAGTGTATATACAGGCAGTGATATAACGTGGATAAGACTCCTCAGATATTTCCCCCTGGTGGATGTCATTGTGACGGAACGCTTGCACTCCGACTGAGTACCTCCGCCAATCGATGCTCCTAGTGCTCGCTGAGGACTCCAAGCACTCCAACCGACACCATCAGCACTGCAGACCCCACTTCCAGCGATGCAACTGCGCCGGGGTCTCTGCTGTTTCCACCCACCCTGGACCCAAGGCCAGATCCAGCTTCCAGTGGGTGAACCTCTCTTTCCCCAGAGAGCAGGAACAGGAACAAATCAAGCTATTGCAAGAGCTTCCTCTGGGGAGTAAGTGATTATAGCAATCCCCAGAGTGTAGGTATCCCTTCCCCCAAACATGAGCCAAGGCTTAATGCTGGAACAAGACTGATTTACTGGCACACAGAAATCACAATTTATGCAACACAAAACTCCTCCTCTGGGCCAGGCTAGATAATTGAGTTTCTACAATACACAAAGCTCAATTATCTGCTGGCCAGAAATAATACAGTTTCATAAAACACATCACAGGGACCCCAAAACATGCAATAACCCCATAAAAAGTATATCCTTGGAACTGGGGGATCTGGGTGAACCACATCCAAAATTCACCCAGATCCAGTTCAGTACTTTGGAAAATACAGTTTAATGCAGATTCTGCAGAACATATACAGGCTAAATAAAAAACAATCACTGTATAATGTGTCCCCTGCTGTATAGTCCAAAACCACCGCACGATGTCTCTGTGCAACAAATACTGGCGAGATGGCAGCGTGTTGAAAAGTCCAAACAGTGTCTGGGAGTTAAAATGGCCATCCATTGTTCTCACCATGTGCTTCTGATACAGGAAATGGTGGCCACCCAGTAACTCCACAGTATGTCCCCACATGGTTCTTAAAGGGCCAGCAGCAGCACAACACAAATCCATTATGCCAAAATCATGTCTTTAAAGGGCAATACATCCCAGGGGCCAGAGGCGGGCAAGCAGTCCTCTCCAGGCAAGAGTGGCGAAGGGCACTTCGTCACACATCTTCCCTTTGGGGGGGAAGACTAAACAGGTACCTGACCTTCTGCCGGTCAGTACCTAGATTAGTCGGGCAGCCCACCCACAAAGAAAAATACGCAGAGTAACCCCCCCACAATAAATGGTACTGGTCTGTAGGTTCAAGTTTGTAGTGGGACAGCGCAGCACTCTCGGTCTCCCTGGTGCAGCTAGGCAAACTGCTGGTGTTGCTTGGGGGGCAGAGGCCAGCGGCGCTCTGCCCTGCTGCCAGCTCTTCCACTGTGGTAACCCGTGGTAAGTCAGGCTCTGATACAGGGGAAATGGGGGGGCAGAGGCTAACAGAGCTCTGCCCAGATGCCAGCTCTTCTGCTGGGGTAACCCGTGGTAAGTCAGGCTCTGATACAGGGGAAAAGGGGGGGGCAGAGGCTAACAGAGCTCTGCCCAGATGCCAGCTCTTCTATCGCAGGCTCATCCACTGCCCCCAGGACCCGGTTGGGATGTAGCTGGGGAGGGGAAGTTTCGCTTACCTCCTCCTCCTGGCATCCCTGCGGGGTTGGTTGGGGATCTGGACCGCCTGTCCAGCCTCCCTGTAGGACTGGCACAGAGACCGCGGTCCCATCTGCGCCAGTGTGGTTAGGTTTGTCTTCCCCCTCTCCCGGTATCTCTGGCTTTTGTTGGAGGGGAGGCTGTTTGCTCCCACTCTCCAGGACGCTGGTTGCTGTAAGGTGGAGGGATCGACCATCACCTCCTCCTGGAACTCAGGCCGCCGCTGGGGAGAGAGACCAGTTGTCTCCTCTCCCTGTATATTATACTGCCGCTGGGGACCTGGGCTGACTGTCCAGCATCCCTGTAGGGCTGGCAGAGAGACTTTGGTCCCATCTCCGTTTGCCATCTCTGTGTGTCCCCAGGACAAGTCTATGAGGTCGCCCACCTCCGGCTGCTGTTGGAGAGGGAGGCCGGTTGCCTCCCCTCCTCAGGACGCTGGTTGCTGTAAGGTGGAGGGATCGACCATCACCTCCTCCTGGAACTCAGGCCGCCGCTGGGGAGAGAGACCAGTTGTCTCCTCTCCCTGTATATTATGCTGCCGCTGGGGACCTGGGCTGGCTGCCCAACTTTTATCCCTGCTCAGGGCTGGCAGGGGCTTAGTCCCATCTCGCTTGTCCCCAGGGTTTGATAGCAGTTCACTACCTCAGGTACACTCTGGTTGGTGGAGGAAGGGAGGCCGGTTGCCTCTCCCACTCCCAGGTTGCTGGTTGCTGTATGGGGAGGGGATCTACCATCACCTCCTCCTGGAACTCAAGGCTGCTTGCTGCTGGGAAGGGGTTGTCTCCCTCTCACTCTCCCCTGTGGATACTTACTGCAGCTGGGGATCTGGGCGGGTACACAGCAGCATCCCTGTGGGGCAGGTGGAGAGACCTCGGTTCCATCTCACCTGCCATCTGTAGATGCTTCCAGGGTTCCATAAGATTTGCTCACCTCTGGGGCTTTCTGGTTGGACAGAAGAGGGTAGGGTGTCCAGGTAATCACTGGGCCGAGGGACGGTGATTGGGCTAAGTTGAACAGGCGTCGGTAGCTCTGCTCCAGCCCCCACTCCATTGCGACCAGATGACTCAGGTCTGGCCCCAGGTCGTCTGCTCGGGGAAGATCCAGCAGGGTTTCCCTGATGCTGTGGATGTCCCAGAACCGAAACTCTGTTTGGCATCCAAAGTCATCGCCCTCCTCATAGGCCTCCCACAGTAAGCCCGGGCCATTATAATCCTCTCCCTCGGGCAGATAGTGGTTAGTCATCGAGGGGTTGCGCTGGGTGGCGTACCACTTTAATGCCCGGTAAGCTGCATCTAGCCACAACTCCTTTCAAATTAAATCCCAGAGTTCCAACAACCATTCATCCAAGGGTTGCTCCCCTAGGAAAGGGGAGCGCAGGGCCTCGAGTACCTGGAACCGCTGCTCGTCACTGGGAAGGCTCTCCGCCGCCGTTGTACCTTTTCCAGGGCATCGTGCCACATCTGCGTACGAGTGACATCTCTCCAGTCCAGTATGCACTCCTCTGATACAGGCCCGTCCTGTTGGGCCAAGTGCTGCTGCAACCTCCAGCGAAACTCCTCTTCCATGTTGCTGTGGATAGGGACGCTGCCTGTAGCTAGCTCTATCCCTTGAGTTCCTCTGAAGCCAGGGTCGCTGCACAAGTGCTAGCGTTGCCCTCAATTATAAATCCGTAACTCCACACGTTACCGGTGTCTCCGAGCTGCTGGTCCTCACACTAGGACGCCATCCCACCGCTGCCACCAAATGTGACGGAACGCTGGCACTCCGACTGAGTACCTCCGCCAATCGATGCTCCTAGTGCTCGCTGAGGACTCCAAGCACTCCAACCGACACCATCAGCACTGTAGACCCCACTTCCAGCGATGCAACTGCGCCGGGGTCTCTGCTGTTTCCACCCACCCTGGACCCAAGGCCAGGATCCAGCTTCCAGTGGGTGAACCTCTCTTTCTCCAGAGAGCAGGAACAGGAACAAATCAAGCTATTGCAAGAGCTTCCTCTGGGGAGTAAGTGATTATAGTAATCCCCAGAGTGTAGGTATCCCTTCCCCCAAACATGAGCCAAGGCTTAATGCTGGAACAAGACTGATTTACTGGCACACAGAACTCACAATTTATGCAACACAAAACTCCTCCTCTGGGCCAGGCTAGATAATTGAGTTTCTACAATACACAAAGCTCAATTATCTGCTGGCCAGAATAATACAGTTTCATAAAACACACAGGGACCCCAAAACATGCAATAACCCCATAAAAAGTATATCCTTGGAACCGGGGGATCTGGGTGAACCACATATCCAAAATTCACCCAGATCCGTTCAGTACTTTGGAAAATACAGTTTAATGCAGATTCTGCAGAACATTTACAGGCTAAATGAAAAACAATCACTGTATAATGTGTCCCCTGCTGTATAGTCCAAAACCACTGCACGATGTCTCTGTGCACCAAATACTGGCAAGATGGCACCGTGTTGAAAAGTCCAAACAGTGTCTGTGAGTTAAAATGGCCGCCATCCATTGTTCTGACCATGTGCTTCTGATACAGGAAATGGTGGCCACCCAGTAACTCCACAGTATGTCCCCAGATGGTTCTTAAAGGGCCAGCAGCAGCACAACACAAATCCATTATGCCCAAATCATGTCTTTAAAGGGCAATACATCCCAGGGGCCATAGTTACAGGGCAAGAGGCGGGCAAGCAGTCCTCTCAAGGCACAAGTGGTGAAGGGCACTTCGTCACACATCTTCCCTTTGGGGGGAAGACTAAACAGGTACCTGACCTTCTGCCGGTCAGTACCTAGATTAGTCGGGCAGCCCACCCACAAAGAAAAATACGCAGAGTAACCCCCACACAATAAATGGTACTGGCCTGTAGGTTCAAGTTTGTAGTGGGACAGCGCAGCACTCTCGGTCTCCCTGGTGCAGCTAGGCAAACTGCTGGTGTTGCTTGGGGGGCAGAGGCCAGCGGCGCTCTGCCCTGCTGCCATCTCTTCCACTGGGGTAACCCGTGGTAAGTCAGGCTCTGATACAGGGGAAAAGGGGGGGCAGAGGCTAACAGAGCTCTGCCCAGATGCCAGCTCTTCTGCTGGGAGGGGGTCAGTGGGTATCGCAGGCTCATCCACTGCCCCCAGGACCCAGTTGGGATGTAGCTGGAGAGGGGAAGTTTCGCTTACCTCCTCCTCCTGGCATCCCTGCGGGGTTGGTTGGGGATCTGGACCGCCCGTCCAGCCTCCCTGTAGGACTGGCACAGAGACCGCGGTCCCATCTGCGCCAGTGTGGTTAGGTTTGTCTTCCCCCTCTCCCGGTATCTCTGGCTGCTGTTGGAGGAGGAGGCTGGTTGCCCCCACTCTCCAGGACGCTGGTTGCTGTAAGGTGGAGGGATCGACCATCACCTCCTCCTGGAACTCAGGCCGCCGCTGGGGAGAGAGACCAGTTGTCTCCTCTCCCTGTGTATTATACTGCCGCTGGGGACCTGGGCTGACTGCCCAGCATCCCTGTAGGGCTGGCAGAGAGACTTCGGTCCCATCTCCGCTTGCCATCTCTGTGTGTCCCCAGGACAAGTCTATGAGGTCGCCCACCTCCGGCTGCTGTTGGAGAGGGAGGCCGGTTGCCTCCCCTCCCCAGGACGCTGGTTGCTGTAAGGTGGAGGGATCGACCATCACCTCCTCCTGGAACTCAGGCCGCCGCTGGGGAGAGAGACCAGTTGTCTCCTCTCCCTGTATTTTATACTGCCGCTGGGGACCTGGGCTGACTGCCCAGCATCCCTGTAGGGCTGGCAGAGAGACTTCGGTCCCATCTCTGCTTGCCACCTCTGTGTGTCCCCAGGACTCGTCTATGGGGTCCACTACCTCAGGTACCTCTGGTTGGTGGAGGAGAGGGAGGCTGGTTTCCTCCCCTCCCCAGGACGCTGGTTGCTGTATGGGGGAGGGATCTACCATCACCTCCTCCTGGAACTCAGGCTGCTGCTGGGAAGGGAGACCGGTTGTCTTCTCTCCCTGTGAGATACACTGCCGCTGGGGATCTGGGCCGGGTACCCAGCATCCCTGTGGGGCAGGTGGAGAGACCTCGGTTCCATCTCCACCTGCCATCTGTGGGTCTTCCCAGGACTGTTCCATAAGGTTGCTCACCTCTGGGGCTGGTTGGACAGAAGAGGGTAGGGTGTCCAGGTAATCCTCTGGGCTGAGGGGCGGTGATTGGGCTAAGTTGAACAGGCGTCGGTAGCTCTGCTCCAGCCCCCACTCCATTGCGACCAGATGACTCAGGTCTGGCCCCAGGTCGTCCGCTCGGGGAAGATCCAGCAGGTTTTCCCTGATGTTGTGGATGTCCCAGAACCGAAACTCTGTGGGGCATCCAAAGTCATCGCCCTCCTCATAGGCCTCCCACAGTAAGCCCGGGCCATTATAATCCTCTCCCTCGGGCAGATAGTGGTTAGTCATCGAGGGGTTGCGCTGGGTGGCGTACCACTTTAATGCCCGGTAAGCTGCATCTAGCCACAACTCCTTCCAAATTAAATCCCAGAGTTCCAACAACCATTCATCCAAGGGTTGCTCCCCTAGGAAAGGGGAGTGCAGGGCCTCGAGTACCTGGAACCGCTGCTCGTCACTGGGAAGGCTCTCTCCCCGCCGCCGTTGTACCTTTTCCAGGGCATCGTGCCACATCTCCGTACGAGTGACATCTCTCCAGTCCAGTATGCACTCCTCTGATACAGGCCCGTCCTGTTGGGCCAAGTGCTGCTGCAACCTCCAGCGAAACTCCTCTTCCATGTTGCTGTGGATAGGGACGCTGCCCGTAGCTAGCTCTATCCCTTGAGTTCCTCTGAAGCCAGGGTCGCTGCACAAGTGCTAGCGTTGCCCTCAATTATAAATCCATAACTCCACACGTTACCGGTGTCTCCGAGCTGCTGGTCCTCGCACTAGGACGCCATCCCGCCGCTGCCACCAAATGTGACGGACCGCTGGCACTCCGACTGAGTACCTCTGCCAATCGATGCTCCTAGTGCTCGCTGAGGACTCCAAGCACTCCAACCGACACCATCAGCACTGCAGACCCCACTTCCAGCGATGCAACTGCGCCGGGGTCTCTGCTGTTTCCACCCACCCTGGACCCAAGGCCAGGATCCAGCTTCCAGTGGGTGAACCTCTCTTTCCCCAGAGAGCAGGAAAAGGAACAAATCAAGCTATTGCAAGAGCTTCCTCTGGGGAGTAAGTGATTATAGCAATCCCTAGAGTGTAGGTATCCCTTCCCCCAAACATGAGCCAAGGCTTAATGCTGGAACAAGACTGATTTACTGGCACACAGAACTCACAATTTATGCAACACAAAACTCCTCCTCTGGGCCAGGCTAGATAAATGAGTTTCTATAATACACAAAGCTCAATTATCTGCTGGCCAGAAATAATACAGTTTCATAAAACACACAGGGACCCCAAAACATGCAATAACCCCATAAAAAGTATATCCTTGGAACCGGGGGATCTGGGTGAACCACATATCCAAAATTCACCCAGATCCGTTCAGTACTTTTGAAAATACAGTTTAATGCAGATTCTGCAGAACATATAAAGGCTAAATGAAAAACAATCACTTTATAATGTGTCCCCTGCTGTATAGTCCAAAACCACTGCACGATGTCTCTGTGCACCAAATACTGGCGAGATGGCACCGTGTTGAAAAGTCCAAACAGTGTCTGTGAGTTAAAATGGCCGCTATCCATTGTTCTCAC